ATGAGCTATCACAACGGGCACTACTTCTCAACCTTTGACCGGGACAATGACCGCTCGCCCCACAACTGCGCGGAGCGATACCAGGGTGGTTGGTGGTTTGACGCCTGCCTGACGTCCAACCTGAATGGGAAATACGTCACAGATTTAACATTATCGAAAAGCGGTCAGGGTATTTACTGGCATTTTCTAGAAACTCGACACAATTACTCATATTTGTATTCAGTGATGAAAATACATCCTGTGCAATATTCCAGAACTAAACGAAACGAAAGCAAAACGATATAAAGTATATATCCTTCCACTATTTCTCGCCGATCTGGCGATAAGCCTAATTTTCATAAACCTCTGATAAAAAATATACCATTTTCCCGAAAGTCGGCGATACGCATTTTGCATGCGCGCGCATACCGTTTTGGGGTGTAACGTAAACTTTCACGGGTGATATTGTGCAATCGACATGATGAAAATAAGACCCTCTTTTACCGAACATCAACAAAGTGACATGTTTGTTTTTGCACTATGAAAACGGCGGGCGTCGTGCTTGCATCCCAGTCTCACTACTTCCGGGAAAGTGGTCTATACGGCCCCTTGTTTTTTGCGGCGTTTGATTGTGCCGTTTTGTTTGGTAGTTAGCGTAGTGCGCCACTTAGTGGTAACAATGGAAAAATCTGCGGCCTTTGTCGCCCAATGGCGTGCACATGTATGCCGTAATACCACTGGCAACATTTGGCTTGCAAATACTCGAATACACAGGATCATGTCAATTATAATATATTGAATACGTCGAATTTGTATTATTTCAAATATTGTTTTGTGAATAAAATGTTTCCATGCAACTTTACTGGCATCTTGAATTTTAACCTTGTCTTACGAGCAGCGTGTGTCAGTTACGCCGCCACAGTTGAAATAGGGAAATGCTAAGCAAATTCGATTGCTCCTGTATTATCTTGACCCACCACGTCTGAAAATGTAAGGTGAGGTTATTGCCAGGTGTGGCCACATAAGTGCAGTCAGTCCGGAATTATAAGCAGACTGAAAAAACTAAAAACAGATTCGATTACATAGCACAAAGTGCACAAATGTACTGCTTGAAAATAAAACTAAATAGGGTAAATTATCTTAGGTTTGGTTCCACATTCTCAAAAAGCCGACATGTGCTGTGGAAACTTGATTATTGACGCTCGGCAAATGTGACTAACAATACTGGGTCAAAGAAACCTTTACAATAACTGACATTCAACAGCAAAACCCGAAGGGAAAAACAGAAATAGCACACTGTTACTGCACGCCGACCCCTCAGGGAAAAACCCTGGCGGTGTCACCCATTGTCACGAAAAATAATCAAAATTAAAACAAATTAAATTTGAAAACTGCACAGCGACGAGACTGGCCCAAACTGGTATTCAAACCTGTCTCACACTTAAATATCTCTAAGTCATGTGACCTCCACATAGCATATCCCCTTCTGTTTGTCATCACGAACAGAAAATAGTTGGCTGTACTGTCATGAATTTGTTTTCGCGTATCTGTTGACCGACTTAATTAGCTGATTATTAGCGAATTGCTGTGTTATGTCTGTCATCGTTTAGACCTATTTGAAGTTTTGGACGGAACTTGGCTCAGTGATTTGGAACTAATTACCAGATAACCGCCGCTATTCAGACTACGATTTCTGACAGTTTATATTCATAGTTATTAATGTAGTGAACGATTAATCGAAAGATATGACGTATTCAGTACTTAGTGTGATTGGCTTTATGATTGAAGGTTACGCCCTAGAGTCTTTTTACTGTTTTGTAATTGGTTAGAGTTTTGAAAATGAATAAAGAGAGTTTGAGTTGGTCTTGGGGAGCACAGCACGATAGACGCAGTCGAGAGTCGAGAGTGCAGTCCTGGAGAGCCTCCGGGCGAGTGTTGACGCAGTCTAAAAGAGTCTTGCGTCAGCCTTGCGATAGTCTTGGGGATTTTTCCCCAGGGCGCCGTGTCTTATAGAGTGCTCGAAAGACCGACTAAGACGAGAGTTGAAACGTATTTCGTTGTGTGTGTCTTATTTGACTGTAAAGTATAAGTGACTTTCCCGATCCCGCACCTCAAGGGGACGAGATATAGAGACGAGACGAGATTCCCCCCTGACAAGTGTGGAGAACCCCAAGGAGAAGATTTTACCCCTGTTAGTACTTCGAAACACGGTCAGTCTGCGCATGCGGATGCCAATCTCTTGTCCGTAAAGTCTTTATTTGTACCACGGTTAGTAACCGTGTTTGTATGCATCGATATGTTTTTTTGTGAAACAGCGGCCATTGTTTTTTTTCCCGACTCGACAAAACATGAATCCTTTACGAATTTTGTAGAAAATGCGTTAACACCGACTTTTTGGTAGATGATTTTGATATGAGTACAGTTTTCACTTTACATATGCTAACGTTATTGGGTTGCAGTGTTTAAAGCGGGAGGGTCGTCGTCACCTGCGCACGCGCGGAAATTGAGTCCCAAGCGACGATAACAACACACGCTAAAAACGCAAAGGCTCATGGCCATCTGACGCGTCCACAGGTGACGACTCTCCCGCTTTAATCTGGGCCGTTATAACAACAAATCAGTCAACTTGTGAACAGAGGATTCTTGAGTACACTGGGAAGGGTAGACGCTTGTTTGTAAACAATGACACGCTATGGTCATCTAACGCATGCGCAGGTGACTAATCTCCCGCTTTAAATTTTACTGCGTTACACTGCATAGTTGTGTTTAAAGCGAACCTAAATGCGGCCTTAATTTATAGTTGTGTATATTCTAAACTGTATTCGAAATAATATTGCAGTGGTTTAATTTTTTTTAATTATAACTGTAGCTTGGATAGACATTTGAAGTGCTTGCAATTAAACACCATGGAGGTCATTCATGGAGGGGAATAAATAACGAACGAACATATTTAACATCCGGGTATTTTTCAAAGCTATGACGTTTTAGTATCTGATCGCATTCGTATACGCCATTGTACATAGCCGTTCATGCTCCCAAGCATTGCGTACTATTAGTATAAACTCAACTTTTATATGCACAATGTGCTTTTTATAACTTGGGTTAGAGCCTTATGCGTTTGAACCACAGTATTATGAGAGTGAAAGCCCAATTACGTTAAAGTACCGTACTTCCCCGATCGTAAGCCCCTCACTGAGTATGAAGCCCATCCCTATATTTTTACTTGGTATTTTTCGAGTTGAG